GGGTCCAAATTTCTACCCCTAAACACTTCAACACTCCTTTCAGATCGTGTTTCACAAAAGTACATTGGAAAAAGCGATTTTTGTAGTCGTTCACGTATATTGCGGTCGCTTTTATGTGTACGAGAACATCAATACTGAAGTGCTCGAAAATGCTTTTTATCAGCGTTTTCGAAAACTATCTATTTTTCTCTCAAAAGAGATAGACCGAGTACTTTTTGATTAAAAGGACCGCCAGAAACTGAGTTACAAAAGTATAATTTTGGTTTTTCAAAAAACCTCTTTGTTGCTGAGTAGCAGTGACTTTTTTTACATAAATGCTGCAAAATCAAATTTTTCTTAAATTTATAAATATCTCAAGGTCTTATAAAAATTGATCGTTATGGAAAAGACTACGGAAAATGTCGCATGTAATTGCATCGAAGCATGATGCTAGTCTGGCGTGAGGCGTGTGCAGCCTCTAGATAGTCGCAATACCAGACTTAATCTATACCTATTCAATATCTTCTTATTACTTTTATCCCTTTGTCTTTTTTTTGGGAGAACAACTACATGGAAAATGCTTCGAAAAGGACTAGAGAACTACGATTGATTTAGTTTAATTGGGTCTTAGTAATGTTTTTTATATCCTTGAACCATTGCAGTATATAACTTACTGTAGATTAATTTCGATGCCTATCCATATATTTACCTGTCATGACAAGCGTTCAGTGATCGCTAAAAAGTTCACAATACTTCAATTTGAATTTATTACTTAATATTATCAGAACAAGATATAAACATCGCCTTCAGCATCGTCTTGAACGTTGGTTTGACTCTCTTGCTCAGAAACTGTTTCTGATGGTACTAGTCTGATGTCACCAGAGTTCTTCAATAGCATTTAGTTAATATTAAAATACATCTATGACATTCACTTGACCACGAAACATTAGGTTCAGTGCAATTATATGTGACATTTTCTGTACTCGTTCCCATAACAATCAATTTTTATGAGAGATTGAGATATTTATAAATTTAAGAAAAAATTGATTTTGCAGCATTTATCTAAAAAAGCCACGGCTACTCAGCAACAAAGAGATTTTTTAAGAAACCAAAATTATAGTTTTATAGCTCAGTTTCCAGCGATTCCTTTGGTGTGAATATATTGGGTGTATCTCTTTTTAGAAAAAAATAGATAGTTTTCGAACAAGCTGATAAAAAAGCATTTTCGAGCACTTGAGTATAGGGATGGGAAGTTACTGTTACTCGGGAACAGTAACAGTAACGGTGGAGTTACCAGTTACTTTTTCCTGGTAACTTCTCAAAAAGATGAATTATCACTTCCATTCGATCGAACATCGCCATTACATTATTTATTCACTTGACCCGTTCTCAGTTACCCTGGTAACTCCAAACTCTGTTTAATGATGTATTGGCGATATTCAGTCGGATAGAAGTGATAGTTCATCTTTTTGAGAAGTTACCAGGAAAAAGTAACCGATAACTTTTTTATAGAGTCCGTTACCGTTACCGTTATCGGGTAACGGTTTGGGAACGGTAACTTCCCACCCCTACTTGAGTACTGATTTCTGACACACATAAAAACGACCGCAATATACATGAACGACTATAAAAATCGCTTTTTTCAATGCATTTTTTCATGCTGAATCTGAAAATATATTGTTTTTGCTTCATCAAAACTAAGCTAATCGCTACAGAGTTCTCGGTTTTTCATAAATTCAAAAAAGTTGGTTGAAAGAAAAACAGTATTTTGAGTTTTGTACAAAAAACAAAAACATTTCAATAAACATCGCTCAAAAATCATTTTCTTGGTGATATTCTTAATCAGGGCATTAAACTCTACTAGGAAAACTCTATTAGAACAAAAACAAAAATCTGCTGCTCTATTGCATTACTGACACCAGCCATCTCTACTCTGTATAGTACCTAGAAAATTACGCGAAACAACAGCAAGGGTTTATCTGTCTAAATTATGCCATGTGTCTTGGTTTTCTCTAGAAATACAACAGAGATAATAGTTGCTCCTGTTTCTAAGCGCTTTACCCGCTTCCTTAGACTAAAAATTATTTTATCATGAAAGCAAACGAGGGGTGCCACACTTTTGTTTTTAGTAATTCTTGTTAAACACGATCTAAAATAGTATTGAAATGTAGAAATGTAGAAAGTTGGATCCACTACTCCCGCCTTCACAGGCTGTGGCAGGTAGAGACCACAGATAATAACAGAATTGCACAGACCGTGAGAGACATGTTAGAAAAGCCTTGCCACAGCCGCGATAAACATCCTCAGCAACGGTTTAATACAGATGTGATAGATATTCTCAGCAATGTAGGATTCTTGTTGCAATTGTTACCATAGAAACTTCACAGACTGTGACAAATATCTGAATTTCCATTTTACAGCGCCAACAGCTTCACTGTGTTTCATATTTTAATTCCGCAAGGATCGCGCTAACATCTTTTGAGATGGGACTTATTGTTAATTAGTTTGGTCTCTTGTCGAAAACAAATTGGCAGAT